ACCCGTGTCTCTGCTGCGTCCGTCGTCCCGTCTTCACCCGTGTCTCTGCTGCGTCCGTCGTCCCGTCTTCTCTGCGGCGTCCGTCGTCCGGTCTGAAGGTTGAAGGTTGCTGCTCTGAATATCTCGTCCTCCTCTAACGTGGCGTTGTTAAGTCCAGGTTCATGCAGAGGTGGAAGCGGTTGCTGTGGCCGCTCTGAAGCGACCTCAGTAAAGGCGGCGGTGACTCTGGGCTGCGAGGCGGAGGGATTCCCATCGTCCTGCCTGGGGGGGGACGCTGTGTGGCCTTCCAGCCAGAGCAGTCTGTGGGGAAAAGGCCTGTTGCTGCATGTGTGTCGGCCAGCAGGGGGCAGCGTCGGACTGGGATGGAGGAGGTGGGATCCTGGCAGAGCTGGTCTTCCTCTGCGGTTGTTTTTTTCTCCAAGGAGCGTTTCCTGTTCACACTGAAACTCTGCAGATAATTGCAATAGACTCAATAGTTTCTAATCTCACAGACGCTCAGTTTATGATCCAATTACATTTAAGAAGAGTCAGACACACCGGCAGCTCTTTAGGTGATCATGCTCTTAAACGGGTTCCTGGACAGGAAGGTAGAGCTGCAGCAGGTCCTTCGCTGCATTACTGATGGAGTCACCATTTAATAATAATAATAAATGAAATAATTGAACTTTATTGATCTGATATTGGAGACATTCACTCTGCATTTAACCCCTCCCTCTGGGGAGCAGGGTCTTGCTCAGGGACCCAGGGAGCAGTCTGTGGGGATGGAACCGGGGACTTGCAACCTTCTCAGAGCAGAGCGCACTGCTCTAACCACTAGGCCATCACTCCGCCATATTGGTACTCCCTAGTTAGACGGGTCTGAATGTAAACGATCGGTGTTCTACAACAACCATGATGTTCTCATTTTCAGAGGGACTTAATACTTTTAAAATAAAGATAAATTCATAACTTTGACACACCGGCTGTTTCCCAGCATCAGTAGATTACTGTCAGTTAAGGTAAATAAATAGGAACTTAATGAGTATATTAATGGAGCATAATACTGTATTCAGATATTAACAATATTAGACACACTATCTAATGATGAGCCAAACGTCTTAAACTGATAAATTTATTACATTGTTATACTTTATATATTATATATAATTTCAAGAAATTTCATCAAGACTAAATTACTTGTACGTCTGTTAATGATGTAATATTTTTCTATTCAGTCTGGGGTTGAGGCTCTCGCTCAGGGGCCCCAGGCACCCCCCCCCC